TATTCTTGTATACTTGTAATCTTGTTCTAAGAAAAAGGAAAGAATAGCAGTTTAATAATCAATCATTGTTGCTTTCTTCTTTATTAACCCAAACCCTTGTGTGTTTCTTGATCATTAAGAAACCGTTTATAATTTGTTATAAGGTATCTGATTCACAACACATATAAAGCATGAGAAGGAACCAAGACACCCTTACAAGCATGCATAAGCTTAATCTTACCATTGGAGACCAGTTGAGACAAACCTCTACTAAGAAAGTCCTCAGCGATACAAAATAGTTACAGAGATAGTGGGTCTCCCTGTCAGACACCTCTAAGACAGTTGAAGAAACCATGAAGCTCTCCATTAATAGAGAGAGAAACCTTATCTGATTCAAGAATTCTTTTGATCCAAAGGCAAAAAGTGACATTGAACCCAAACTTAGCTAGCATATTAAGAAGAAAATCATAATCAAAAGTATCGAACGCTTTAGAAATATCAACTTTCACCATTAAATTTCCACCAATAGAATTATTGTGCATAATATTCGCCACCTCAGAAGTGATATAAATACAATCTTTAATGCTTTTATCTTTAACGAAGCCCTTTTGCTCCTTCGAGATGATGCATAGAAGAATCCGAGCTAATTTGTCATCCAAAACTTTTGTTAAAATTTAAAACTTGAAATTTGTTAATGCGATTGGTCTATAGTGATAACTACTCTCAGACTCGTTGATCTTAGGAATTTAAACAACGATGGTCGAATTATAATTTGGATTAATCCAACCATCCTTGAAAAATTGAAGAGTGGCCTTAATGACGTCATCTTTGATAGTCTTCCAATATGTCTGATAAAAAATAGGGCTGAAACCATCAGGGCCAGAAGCGTTGTCTCTCTTCAAGCTAAAGACAACATTGGAAATTTCATCTTTAAAAGGCAACATTGTCAGGATAACATTGGTCTGCTCAGAAACAAGATTAGGGATAACCTCCTTCACCAAATAATTGTCCTGCAAAATAGAAACAAAGTTAAATAAACCTTTGAAGTGTCGCACCACACAGTCAGAGATTTGAACCTTGCAAGTAGTAATATTGTTGCCAACTTTTAAAGATTACGAAGACTTTGTAGTATTCCTAATTTTATCCAATTTGTGAAAAAAAACTAGTGTTCCTATCACCTTTCACGTGTTATTGAACACGAGCTTTCTATTTCCCAAACAACTCTTCAATGATAAGAGCCTGATCCAAACTGACTTGAGTCTTCCTCTCAAGAGCAGCCAAGTCATCAGAGTGACCATCATTAACAATCTTATCCTGAACATCTTTAAGATCTTTGAAAACAACTAAAATTCCAAACTTTCAACTTTTCTTTCAGAATTTGCAATTTCTTAGCCAACACATACATGGGGAAACCCACAACGACATTGTTCCAAGCAACATCCGCAACATTCTGACAATCTGGATGAGAGCTCCACATCTGAAGAAACTTGAATTGAGACCTGTAACTATCAGCTTGGCAACTAAACCTCAAGAGCAACGAAAAATGATCAAACATAATTTTCCGCAAAATGGAACAAGTCAAATTAACGCATGAACCCATCTAGTACTTAGTACACACCACCCTATCTAATCTCTTCTGAGTATGACTCAAACCACTTCTACCATTGGACAAAGTGAATCTGGCACCAGAAGTGGGAATATGAAAGAGGTGGTTAGAATCAGTCCACCTCCCAAAGTCTTTCATAAGACCTCTAGTCGGGTCATTCGAACCACAATACTCATGAGCCCTTAAAATAGTATTGAAATCCCCAATGCAACACCAAGGAATTTGAACCAGAAGAAAAGTACCTTGAAGCTGAGAAAACAAAGGTCTTCTTGTAATGCATCAAGTTGAAACATATATAACAGAAATACCCATTTTTTTTACCAAAACAATCAAAAGTGAATGAGATATGTTGATCATCCAAATAAACAACATCAAGAGAAATGTTAGTATCACATAAACACAAAGGATTGGGATTAAGACCATTCCTATTATTCACAGGAAAAAACTTAAGATTGAGTCTATTAAGCCAACTAGAAGGAAACAAATTGCTATCCATCCAAGGTTCAACAATTAAAACAAAATTAGGTTTGGAACATCTAATAAGCCTTTTTCATGCCAATTTTGTGGGAGAGTTGGCATTACCTCTCACATTAAAAAAGAAGAAGGTAATTCATAGCGAATTATGGGCACTTGCAGGTCAAGACCTTGTAATGTATTTGCTTCTAGACGCATTCTTCTTTAAAGACTTCCTTCTTGATTTAGATCTAACCTTTTGAAAACCTTCAGAGTCAATCAAATCAATACCCTGGATATTGCTGTCATCACCAATACCTTGTCTAACATCTTCTTGCTCCACCATATTCGCCCAAGAAGAATTCAAGAAATCCAAATTCTGTTGCACCTGGAAAATTTGTTCAGCTCAACAATTTTGTAACAAAAGACGAATCCTCATCGGAGTCATCCTTCCTTTCCTCCTCAATGCGCAAATCACTGCTAAAACTATCCTGAGTGTCGTTGTTGGACCCAGTAACCAAAGGAACACGTTGCAATAGTTGTTGAGAACCCAGTTGCTCCGAACTATTTGAATTCAAGTTTCCCTCCACATCGACTAAGTCATCTTCCTTACTATCTACCAAGTTAGCTTGACGTTCAACTTCAATTGGTTTTTCTGGCCCACCTTCATTAGATTTCACATTAACTTGCACATAAGTTTTCTTGGTGCCTTTAGAATGATGATTCACTTTATCACCTTCAATGACAGTATCATCTCTTATTCTTTTCTGGTTTACTGTTGTCTTTCCATTAACACCTTCTTCATCAATTTTCTTGCAATTGTTAATAGAATAATCAATCATGCAGTTGTAAGAACAAAATTGTGGCAGATTTTCATACTCAAGTTCAACGAAAAGGCAAAACCCTTTATTTCCACCAAAACCTTATATCGCAGTTCATTTGCCAGCTCCAAGTCCACTAGAACTCACACAAAATGACCGAAAGGTCGTTCAAAGTTACACTTGTTGGATGCAGAATCCGTACACAACGGAATGCCGATACTACTCGCAACTGCAAACACGATTTTAGGCCTCCAATACTCTTAAAGCATGCCATAAATGCGAACCCAAACCTAAACCAAAGATTGCTTGAGCAAATAAGGATTAAAATCTTTTGACCATGAAAACAACTTTAATAACACTTAGTTAACCCTTAAAGATGCTTTTAAAAAATACTCATGATACATTTGTTAACATTTCCTTTTTTTATTAAACATTACTGATTCTTATAAAGTTGATTTGTAAGATAAAAAATACATTTTTCTTATTGTTATTATATTTTACCTTTTTTCTGCGTGTAAATTGGATTTGTACTATGCATGTCAAAATTTCATATTTAAGGTAAAATCATAAAATATTACGTGGCTATGAATGGCACACGAGTTTTGTAACTACCCACCCACCTGAAACTATGGCTTTTACTCTTTCGGGAATTCATTCTCACTCCATGGCGTTGGTGTATTCATTTCTCCTCCCTACAAAAACCCATCTTGCTTTGTATGTTTCACCTTCACCATCCAAAAAAACATTCCTTGGGATCAACCCATCTTGCAATTTTAATTTCAACACAGCCTTGTCATCAAGAAGATGGAAGCAAGCGGGTACGTTGCGGCTGCAGCAGATATCAAAGCTGCATCAACTCTACTTGATGGGGAAGACCAGAAAGTTCTAGTGGGACCTTCCAGTGAGCAAGAAAGCAAGGGTGAGAGAGAGGTGGCTGATTATGACTGGACAGAAGTGTTAAAGTTAAAGTATTAACCAGTGTGAGTGTGAGTAGGGTTGATAATAGTCCCACATTGGATAGAAATGTGGTGACTTGAGCATTTATAAATAAGAGAATTCACACACCTATCACCTTAAGGTTTTGGGTGAGTATGTGGTGTGTCTCGCACAAAGGTTGCTCTAGAAAATGTCCCACTATGTTCAATGCTCCCCTAGTTGAAAGTCCAACAAGAAGAATGGTACCCTTTGTATCTCACTAAGAATGTACCACATGACCCACCATTGGGTCTCAAAGTGTATGATAAGAACATTGTACTGTTTAGAGATGGTAATGATCAGTTTCAATGCTATGAAGATCGATGTCCCCACAGGTTGGTTATACTTTATCTCATTTCAAATTTTTTTATCCCTTTCAAAAGGCTTGTCTCTGTACCTTATCTTTTGTATGGTTCAGGCTAGCAAAACTATCTGAAGGCCAGTTGATATCATGGATGGCAATTCGAAGGCGAGGGAAAATGTGTGAAGATACCTCAGGTACCTTTCTCACCTTAACCTTAAACCTGTATAACGACATGATGCTAATAAGTAATTGTTTTCTCTGATTATTTCAATAGCTTCCAGCTGATGCCAAAATTCCCAAATCAGCCTGTGTTAAAACATATGAGGTGAGGGACTCTCAAGGCGTTCTTTGGGTATGGATGTCTCCAAAGATACCTCCAAATGTAAGTAAAATACCTTGGTTTGAGAACTTTGCAAGGTCAGGGTTTCAAGATATTTCAACAACTCATGAACTCCCATATGACCATTCTGTTCTGTTGGAAAACTTGATGGATCCTGCTCATGTTCCAATCTCGCACGATAGAACAGCTAGAGCTGCAAAAAGAGAAGATGCACAGCCTCTATGTTTTGAGGTGACTGAACGAACTGATAGAGGTTTTGCAGGTTGGTGGAGACGAGAGAAAAGTGGTTCTAAGCCTAACTTCTTACGGTTTGAGGCTCCTTGTGTTCTACAAAATAACGGGGAAATCACTGATAAAAATGGTGAAATAAACCACTTCAGTGGTTTGTTCCTTTGTAGACCAACAGGGCAAGGGAAATCTATGTTGATAGTGAGGTTTGGAACAACAAAAAGATCTCCATTAATGAAACTGTTTCCGGAATGATACTTACATCAGAATTCAAGTAAGGTTTTGGAACAAGACATGGGATTCCTAGCATCTCAAAATGAAATACTTTTGAAAGAGAAGGTTCCAACAAAGGAGCTATACATCAATTTAAAATCATCAGACACATGGGTTGCCGAATACCGAAAGTGGATGGATAAAGTGGGACACGGAATGCCATATCATTTTGGCCACAGCACTATTTCCTTGCCTAAAGAGCCTGCTGTGGTTGAACATGCACCTGCTGGACTTGTTGCAGGACTATCAGCTTCCTCACCTGCAAAGGGAGGCATCGGAACAATGCATGCTCCAAATTTAACAAATAGATATTTCAGACATGTAATACATTGCAAAGAATGTAGTACTGCCATCAAAGCTTTTCAAACTTGGAAAAATGTCCTTTCGGCTGTGGTTGTTGCATTAGCTGCATTGGCAATTCTGATATCTGGGAGACAGTGGAAAGTCCTTTTGTTGGTATCTGCATCTCTGTGCTCTGTTGGAGTATATGCTTGTTCAACAGCTATTACAATGAATACAACAAACTTTATTAGGATACATAGGAGATTGTGAGCAACTTACAGTTTGTGTTATGGTTGGATGACATGTGATGTTTTATCGATCTATGTTATTTAGGCCAAACAGGGAATAGAAGAAAAACTTTCTTAAAGATGTTTTCAGGTGAGGAGGTCAAGGTCTGCCAGTATTTTTTTAAAGCAAAGAATCGAGTACATTACTGTATTTTGGCAGCGAAGAGCTCAAGAATAAATACTAATACATTGACAATGTTAGAACGATAAAACAAATAAAAAACATCATTACTGCAAAGAATTACATCATACATAAAACAATATAATTTTTCTTACAAAATCAAACAACTTTCATATATTGTGTTCTTATAGGAAGCTTGGCATTTACATGTTTGAAGCTGAAACCTACAGCAGTGGCTTCAAGGATACTCTGTTTCATTTGGTAAAACAATTACACTTGTACATGTTATTATACAAAGAAAAATACAACAACATAATAACTGTATGCTGAAAAAACAAAAGTGAGTGCTACAGCAGTCAGACAGATCCACCAGGTGGTGTAATACAACTTAAATCCTCCCAACTTAAAACATATGTCCACATCTAGGATGTAGGAGGCTCTTCCAACCACTTTGCACGAAAGCCTGTTCCTTGACAATTCGAGCAGCACATTGATCCCTAAAGAGTGAATGACAACAGATTAACAACCGAATAAGTCTCTTGCAAACTGTTCTATACTGAAAGTGCACTGAATAACACTACAAGTTAGTGTACTTGTATAAGTAAATTAAATTCAGATTACTCATTCCTCATAAATGTACCTTTCCAGTGCAAATAATACAACTAGTGTTTCTGGATGGAACTTCACAAAGCATGTGGTCACCAAGAACCAAAAAACCAGTACCTCCACACCATTTGCATTCAATATACCCTTTTGAGTTGCATGACGAACACACAACAGGTCTTGGTTGCTGCAAGGATCATAAAGACAGGTCTTGTTTCTAGATTGAACTCAAAAATCAAACTTGGAAACAGAATATTTGAAATAAAAATGAACAGTTATGGTAATCAAGTTTCAAAAAGGAACAAAAATAGCATACAATTACAATTTCGTGATGATAAAAAATTGGTATTGGAGATTGGATTAGGAACCTGAGAGATTAACCAGGCTTGCTCCATGCGTTTAGTAAAATCGGAGGAGGAAGAGGAAGAGTCAACCATGGAAACCCTAACGCGGAAGCGAGAAATTCGGTTGTTGACGAAACTTGCATTGCCGCCAACGACAGATGAAACTCGAGTTGTCGATTTAGGAATGAACGCAGAGGCACAACAAGAAGATGCACACGCAGACCCGGCCATGAAGATTCAAGCTTCAATTATCAGCGATGTTGTGAACGGTGGTTGTTTCCGTCAAAGAGAAACGATTTCGCGGCAGAAGATATTGACAAGAGCTCACGGTTTTTGTTTGGTCCACGGCTTTCTCTTCCCACAGTTGCAAAAAAGTATTGTGGTTTTAAAAATGATTTTAGTAATGTTAAATATTTTTGTTTAAAAAATATTTATAAAAGAATTTTTTTATAAAATTTTTAAATAAAAGTTTGGGTTGGATAATTATTTTTAGAATGTTATTTTAGATATTTTATTATTTTATTAAAAATATTTTAATATTAAAATTAAAAAATAAAATTGTTTTAAGGTTATTTCAAATAGTTTTTAATAAAAAATATCTTTGAGATACAATTTTTTTTTTAAAATTATAACTTTAATTAAATTTTGATCTTCAATAATATATGTTTATGTTATATAATATTAAAATTAATCTTTCCAATTTATAAAAAATAAATTTAGAATTGTTTTTAATATTTTGAAAAACATTTTATAAAAAATCATTTTAAAAAATATTAAAAAATAATTTAATTATAATTTAAAATATAATTTAAATTCAAATTACTTATATTATTCTAATAGGTAACTAAAGAAAATCTTCGTCCACTTTTTAAAAAGGAAATTTATAAGGTTATTGAATGTTCGAACTACAATGAATTATCTTTGGTGTTTATGAGACTATTGAATGTTGGAACTTCAATGAAGTTTCCTTGCTGCCCTATGAGTATATTGAATGTTAGCACTTAAATGAAGTATCATTGTTGCGCCTTATTAGGCTATCAAAAGCAGGAACTTCAATGAAGTATCCTTGACACCTAAAGAGGTTATCAAATGTTGGAACTTCAACAAAGTATCATTGTCTCCCTATGAGGCTATTGAATGTTGGAGCTTCAACGAAGTACCCTTTTTGTCATATGAGGTTATTGAATGTTGGAATTTTAATAAAGTATCCTGTTGTCCCACGAGGCAATTATATGTCGAGCCTTTACTGAAGGATCCTTATTCCCTTATCAGGCATCCTATTATTGGAATTCTTGCCATAATAGACTTGGTTCGCCCTATGCAACGCCTGAGGGACTCAACTCTAAAGTGTTGGAACAAAATTGGTTGATACCATATCCCTTGGGTTTTGATGATAACAAAGTATTTAAAGAACAGTTGGATATTCTAACATCTATATAAGTATGAAGGATTAAAAGACTAAGAATATATGAAGAGAAGCTTGAGGATTCTGAATATGAAGTTTAGACTCTGGCTCTGAAGATCACGTCTGAAGACTCTAGCTATCATGGAAGATCCAGACTTTAAAGAAGTCAACATCTGAAGAAAGTCAGCCTCTGAAGAAAGTCAACATCTTAAGAAACAATTCAACCAATTTTTCTGTATATTCAAGAGTTTATTTTGGCCAACATTTTAGCCATTATTCATGATGAAAGATGTGATATGCTATGTAGATGATGCAAACTGAAAATGCAGTCAGATGCATAAAAAATTCTAAAATTTCCTGACAAAATTAGGGTATGACACTTTGGATCTTGAACCCTTCATTAGCACCTCTTGATCTTTGCTAGAGACAATACATTTAGATTTATTGTAGCTAACATTAAGACCTTGATCAACATAAAGATCACATAGTTGACTTATGTTGATCAAGTTAGCAGTTAATCCTTCTACCAAAAACACATCATCAAGACAAGGAAAACTTGGAATAACCAGTTTAGATATGCCTTTGATTCTTCATCTAGCTCCATTACCAAAGTTACCATAACTATTAGAGTAAGACTTTAACTCTTCAATATAGCTCTTTTCACCAGTCATGTGCTTTGAACATCTACTATCAAAATACTAATATTCTCCTGAGGGAACTCTAAGAGATGTATGAGTTATAAGACAAGTGACAGTTTCCTTGGGTTTCCGCACTTTCTTTGTTTGAGTTTTCTTGCCTTTCCTTCTGTTGTTCCTTGATTGACTAGAAGACTGAGGATATCCATACAGTCTATAGTTAAAAGGTCTTATATGGCCGTATCTTCCACATTGGTGACACCTCTAAGATGATTTCTTCTTGCCTTTCCTATGAGAGGTCACATGTTGAGCGGGATGCTGGGACATGTGGTCCTTCATCAAAAACCCAATTTTCTTTTCAAGAGAAACAAACTTTTTAGTATGGATTTGACCTTTTTGTTCATGAAATTAAAATCAAACGATATAGCCTTCTTCTCACCAATCTCCAAGATCTCATCTAACACATCAGAACCACTGTTTAACATACGAACATATTTTGTCATATTGTTAAGTTTGGACTTTAACAATATGAGTTTCTCTTTCAGACTTGCAATGGTTAAACCAAGCTTATATTTTTCGAGGAATAGAGCATTTATGATCTTATTTTGTTTCTCTTCTCTCAAGCAATATTCCTTCCATTCAGCGAGCAACTCTCTATATGTTTCAGCAAGTTCTTCTGCTGACATCTCTTCATCACTATACTCACTGCAAGAGTCATATTTCCCAGCAAAAGTCATCATTTTATTATCTATTTCTCCTTCACTTTCATCATCAGAATCATCCCAAGTGATTGACAATCCCTTTTTCTGTTTCTTTAGAAAAGTAGAACATTCAGCTTTAATGTTGTTGCACCCCAAAATTTGCCCAACCTTTTCCTTCTTGTTTTTGCATTAGCATAACATCATCATAGCATTATCATTGCATTATCATTTATGCAGGGGATCAAGTGTGATATACATCAAGAGAGGCCTATCTAGAGGTTTTATTTGAGCTTGAGGAATCACTAAAGTCACCAGGAAGTGGTTCATACCCTTGAGAAGTTCAGATGCTTGTGTGGGGTTCATCCCCTGACTTAGAGGCCAACTGAAGGTTATCAATGAGTTGGGAAACCATGATTACAGGTCAAGTTCAATACTTTGCATAACTCAAATGGATTTTTTTCCAACATGAAAGTTGCTCCGAATGGCGTCATTGGGTCAACTAAACCTCAAGGTTTTAATGGGTTAGCTCATGGTGGAAGTTTGATAAAAGTCACTTTGGTGAAAACATGTGAAAAGGCATAGTTTGGTATTTCTTCAAAATTTAATCAAATAAGTCCATGTTTGTACTTATTTTTAGTGGAAATCTCATTTTAAGAACAATGGCACTTTTACATTTTTCATTTGGAGCTTTTATCATGACCTATTTCAAGTTTTCTTCACAACTAAGTAGCATAATGGATATTGGGTTTGGGCTTAGAAACAAAGGACTATTTTGGGCCTTAAATTTTCCTTATGATGCAAGATATAAAACCAAATGGAGCGAAGGCAAAAATCTTTTTTCCATGATCATTTTTCTCACATTCTTCACCACTTTTCCATATTCACCATAATTGAAAATCTCAAAAATTCAATTATTTCTTTCTCCCATTTTTTGTCCATTCTTTCATTGCAAATCAATTCCATATACTTTCTACAACTGATTTCACCATTTTTTAGCCATTTTTGGTGCAAGAACAAGCTTATAGCAATTGGAAAAAGTGGTGTTCATGTCAAAATCGAATTCTGTTTTTCACTTCGTTTCAAGCATTTTCTTTGATCCTAATACCTCTACCAAGGATTATTGAAGGTTTCTACATGATTTTTCAAGGAAATTCGTGCTCCATTGAAGCTCCATAATCCATTTTTCGGAGGTAATGGAAATTCAAGTTTGCTCCATAATTATGATTCTTTTCCATGCCATTTTTATAGCATTGCATTCCCCTGGAGTAGTACATCGTTTCTGGTAAAGAAAGATCCATTTTTATGACAATTTTGTGTTCTTGAAAGTTTGAGATTCAAATACGGTTTTTGAGATAGAGGAGGTTTCAACAAAAAATAATGCCATATTTGGATTCCCCACGAATTTCTGGTCAAGTTTCATCTAGAGAGCATCTCATTTGGTGGAGTTTTTAGAGAGATAGGAGCCTAGGGAGTTTTCCGGCCAAGACCCATTGCCAGCCGGCCGAGCACTCTTCGCGGGCTGGTATTTCGTCCAACATGTGGAGAAGAAACCTCTCGCCCGTTCGATCGAGTTGACTGTGTCGTCCATCGCGCGACCGTGAAAGCACCACGTCGCGCCTGTTTCTCTCCACACATAATACTGCGTCGTTTCATTAAATGAAACAAAGCCAACACAATTCGTAGTGCTATTCACACCCCATCACGCGTGCCAGCCCACAAACATTGCCTTGGGTCTTCACTGTTTACACCCCCCAGGCCCATTTGCTTATATATTCTTTGTATTTTTTTTTTCTTTTTTTTTTCTGTTTTGTTATTGGTTTGATTCTAATACTTTAAAAATACGAAAAATGCCTTAAAAATGATGAATTTTTTTGTCGTCAATCTTTAACATGTCTAGATATTTTAGGAATTTTAAATTTTGTTTTTATCATTTTTTTTTTCATTTTGTTATGATTTCTTTTATTTTTATGGTCATAAAAATCATACTAATTGTGTAACAATTTTGTGGATTTTCTTTGAGGCATCAAAATTACATATTTTTGCCTAACCTTTTGCAGGAATCTCATACACATGTTGAGGTATTGTGATATATTTTTGTGGGAATTTTATTGTACCATTTTAATTGGTTTTGGATGCTTTCTTTAACATGCTCCATTTTAACTTTTCCTTTGGTATACATGAGATATCTTGCAATGCTTTCATCTTATTTGACCATTTCTATTTGGATATTTTTGTGGTATCTCTCACCCATGGTTTGTGACTTGATGTAGGGAATTAGAGATTTTTATTTGAATTTTTTAGCATCATTTACTATTTTCCTTTGATTTTTGTATTCGGACTTGTAATATGGACGTTCGAACGGACTTCGGTTTTATTTTGGCTCCAACGGCCTCGATTTGTTTGTGTGATGAACGCGAGGGTTCTTATTACTTGTTATAGACATTATATAGGATATGTAGATCATTGATTGACTGGTTTTATCATACATAA